AACATTCTGTGATTCTGTGATTCTTCTGTGAAAAATGTGAGAAGCTTCTTTTGGTATGATAGCCAAGGCCTTTCGGCACTAAAAGGAGCTGTAATGCCACATACTCTCCTGGTACATAATTAATACAGCCCCACTGAAATGGGTGAAGCTGTGTAAGATTACGCCAAAGAACTTGTCAGGATGTAGAAATTGCATCACAAATACAAATATGTTTTCAAGCTAAGTAAAAGAAGCAAATTGCCTTTGGACTTAAACAGAAATGCAGTTTTAGGAAGCTTTCAGAAGCACTGTAAGGATTAAGCCTGTTTCTCAGGAGATGCATCCTTCTCTCAGATGACCCCATAAACAGAATCAGGTAGAAATATTACAACAGGAAGGAAAAAATATGTAATTTGGTAGAGGACAGAACCATCAAAAAAAAGGAATTAGGAAGACACTCTGTATCATTGCCTATTATCTACCCATTGTAAGTTATACCAGAGCATAGTAACACTGGTTCTTCCTCCAGATGTTCTGCTTTTCTAAATGAGCAATTGCAGGGACCTGTGTGGAGTAGTACTAGGTTACACCAATGCAAGTGGCTGGTGTATCTGTCACAAGTAGTAAGAGAAAAAGAAAAGCAGAAGTCCGGGTATAACTTCTGTTACATGCTGCTGATGGAGCTGGATGCATTAAACTATTTAATTAAAGTACTTAATTCACTGACTACTGCGGAGCTGTATCAGAGTATGTGTGGTCCTTTTTTTGTTCTTCGATTGTGTGAGTGATTATAGTGCAGGCATGCACAGCGTGCTGGCGTATTTTAGCAAAGGAAAAGCAGGGATTATTGGGGCAAAATTGCTGTAGAAATCCTGAAATGAAAATATATGCATTTTAAAAGTTTTCTTTAAATTTCTGCTTGCTCTCTGTCTCTCACCATTCTGCTGTTCCTATGAAAATGGACACCATTAAGTTAAAAACAGTGGAGGTTGGCATTTAGTATCCTGTATTTCTATTTCCAAATACTGTGTTGTATAAAAAAAAATACAGAAAGACAAAAGGTAATCACACTCATTATTATGGTTTTCTTCCCGTGCCAATGGCTTCTGAATTGTGTAACAACAACGAGACCGTCCCTCCCGTCAACGAGCACGGAAGCGGCCGGGCCAGCGCCGGGGCGAGGGCTCCTGCTCCCGCCGCCGCCGGGAACCGGGCTCCCTCTGCCGGGAGCACCTTCCTCCCAGTTTTCTTTTTGTCGTTTCATTTTGCCTGTTTTGGCTTTCTAAGGACCCTGTACAAAATAAACGAAACGAATCCTGTCCTGAGCTTGTGCCGGGAGACATCACAATATCGAAGTTTGCTGGAAAAGTATCTGGAAAACTCACAGAGCGCCCCAACGCTGGTGTTCCCGTTACAGCTTCTGTATGTTCCTGCTTTTGAGATGGAGCTTTTTTTACAATACTTAAAAATAGTACCTAGGGAAAACCTAAAATACTTTGAAACCCATATTAAAACCATCTGAATACTCTGGAGAGCAGGCTTTATGCTCAGAACAACACAGTCAGAGAAATGCCATGCTTCGGGTAACAAATGAAGATACCGGTTCAGTTCAGCCCACGAGGATGCGCTGCACAGGATGGACGTACGGAACCTTTCACACTCCACTTTTCAGTCCTCAGTGCAGAGACTGTTCTGTTTTCCCCTATTTGAAAATCTGAATAGGCTATTTTATAATTTCACATAGAGCAGCTTTCGAGCCTACACATAAATTAGTCTGGAAATGAAAATTCATAGTATTGGGCCAAATTTTTAATTCCTTAAAAATACTTCTGAATTAAGAGAATGAGAGCATGGCATGACTAGCTATAACAGGTTATTTCACTGTGCCAAAATCTTATCTTTATTATTATGCAAGTTGATTCTTTCTAATTTCCTTAAATTCCTGAATATCCAAGGCTTTGCGTTAAACTAATGAACGGTTTACTGCTCTCCACAGTACCTCATCCTGCTCCACTCACACTCTGCAAATGACAGATGGATTCCAAATAAACCAATAAATCATTTCCTGACCTCCCTTCTTATCCATTCACTTTCTCTCCTTTAGTTCTTTTTATTCTCTCATCCTCTACTTGTTCTTTCCCAGTCACAGTATCAACTGTTTCACTTTCAAACTGGAATAAAGCCCAGAACTGAGCAAACTTATCTACTTCCATCTGCCCTTCATCTCTAAATTCATGACATGCTCTAGTTTCCTATCTCACAATTTTCTCCTATGCTTTCTTTACAGCATCTCCTATTTCTTGTGCTCACCTGAACTCACTCTCACTAAAGCATCTATGACATCTTCGTAGCCACACCGCAGGAACAGCAGTACAGCCACGTCCTCTTGAACTGCCAGCAGTCTTTCACAGAACTTTTATTGAAATCTTGGGCCATGTAGCCTCAGCACAATACAAACCCTATGAGTAACCTCATCTTGATACAGTTTGGAGATGTACACTACCAGAGATGTGTCCTGTTCTCCAAACTAAAAGGTTTATCTATCTCTCTAAAGTCTTTCAGAGTATCTAGCTGTCACAGCAGACTCAAGCTGACTAAACCTGTTTTTATCTTCCTCCTAAGGTCTCACTTATGTTTTCAGTAACAGTACAACCCGTAACTTGACAGGCTTCATTCCAGGCTCCTACAGCACCCCTGGGAATAAGAATCACATTATTTTTCTCTTTAATATGCTTCTCTTCCTATTTTTAATAAGCTAAAACCCTTTTCTCCCCCTACCTGAGCCTTTTCTCAGGCTCTGACTGGGATAGAAAAGGCAATTTTAAGGTATTCAGACCCACAAAAATAAGCTTTCTAAATGACAGTTCTGAACATACTATCTTTCCATCCCTCCAATTACCTGACCCTGCACAGACCAGGAAGCTGGAAGAGATGATGTCTCAAAGGCCCTTCCAACACAGCCTAAGTTATCTTGTGACTTTTCCCTTTCTGCACCAACAGATTGTCCCTCCTTCTCCCAGGACTTCCAGGCTATCCTTTCCTATTTGTTACTCGTCATTCAGCATAGAGAGGCTACCCTTAGCTCCAGCCAGACAACAGTGGCAACTTCAGTTATTCACTCTTTAAAGTTTCAATTCAACTTGTTCATACTATTTCCCATACCCTCCCGATAGTTGGAAAGAGCTTCCTAGCAAGCAAGCATAATGTCATTTCTTTCTTCTCATGTGATTCTTACAGCTAATTGCTGTGAGGTCTACAAAAATCTTGAAAAAAAAAAAAAAAAATCTTTCCTTGTGCTCCTGTCTTTTGTCAGTCTTAAAATGTAAGCTCTCGAGGAATAGCAATGATTTTTTGTTTGTTAATTGATCTAGCATAAGGGGATCCTGGCCCACGGTTGAAATTTCTAGACATTACAATACAAACCAGAATGCAAAGCACAGGTTTTACATTTCAAATACCTAATCCTGGAAGTAGTGCAGAACACCCAATCACGGGTTACAATGGAATTATCAGGATCGTTGTCTTTATCATAGACAACAGAAGTTTGCAGGATAAGCACAGTCTTTCTAACAGCCTCCCTAAGATCTATTTTTTATTGTACCCATTCAGTTGTTTGTATACAAATGATTAATTTATCGTCTCAAACTCTAAGTAAAGCAGACAGATTGATGATTATGTTAAATGTGAGAAGAATCACATCCAACATGCTGCACAGCAAAACTAACAATTTAAAAATAATAATTTATTTTTAATTTTTTTATTTTATTTTTCACCATTTCAAATCTGCTTGAAACTTGAGAAAGCCTGGCAGTATCTTCAAGCTCCGGAGAGGAAATGATGTACAGGAGCAATGGGACAGGAAGCTGTTGCAGGAAGTCATAGTTACCTCGGCACAGATTGAGGACATGTTCCAGAACTTTGGCACCAAACTCTATAGCAATCTGAACTGTGATTTAAAACAAAACAAAACAAAACCAAAACTCCCCCCACAAAAACCCAACAAAAACCCAAGAAACAGATTTGTAAAAGCTTGAATTTTTTTCTCAGTGATCCCACATTATTCACAAATACCTTAAAAATATTCCGAAAAGTCAGCTCAATTTCTTTTTTATGTTTTCTAGATAAAATAACATACAATATCTTATACTGAACATTAGTAATTTATAATATTTCAATTAATCTTAAGAGTTACTAGTGACATCTAGGAAGCCTGAGCAGTAAAACAAGGCTTCAGTTAAAAACCTGTACATTGCTTAGTATACAGCAAACTCTTGTCTCAGCTGAGGAACATTAGAAGAGCAGCAAAGCTGAACTAAAACTTGTCCAGATCCATTTTGTCCACTTTTTCACATAAACATATATTTATTTACATAAAGCCTGTGCTCTTTAGTCAGGAAGTGGTTAGTAAAACAACTGAAAAAAGTACTTCAGTTGTATGCTTTGGGGAAAATAATGATGGCTCTGACGTTAAAAGTCCCTGTAGTTCTGCTTCTTATCTTACGTAGGTACAGTTAAACCACTAAAATGAAACTGAAGACAGTTAGGTTCTACAGTGACATGACATTTTTTGACTCACTCACTTTGTGATCCACTACAACATCAAATTCTTTTTCTCTAGATCTGCTATTTAGTGAGCTACTTCTCATCCTGAATTTATACAGTCGATTTTTTCTGCTTTAGTGTCCAGCTTGGAACTTGGCCTTTTGAATTGAACACTGTTTCTTCAGATAACTATTTTATCAAATTACTTTAATAAAAATACTCGCTCACTATTAAGCAAGATCTTGAATTCAATTTACTACACTTCTGAAGAATGATCACTAGTAAATTTTGGAGCTGCATGTGTTTGCTAAATTAATTTGTAAAGGAGTTTTTTGTTTTTGTTTTTTCCCCCCTCATAGAAGGATACAGGGCTCAAAAATAGAATTACTATTTTATGTATTATGATATTCCTCTAATGCATCTGAAGTGGGCTTTCTTGCTGTTGTTTTGAGGAGTGTTTTGTTTTGTTTCCTTAACCAACTAGAGCTTATCTTCTCAATGTTTGTTAAAATTATGAAGAGAAACAGAATCATGTAAGCTAAACTATACTGACTATAAGCAGTAAGTGCATCCAATTTTGATGCAACAGTTTTCCTTCCAAAATATTTTGTAAGATTAGTTACAAAACTCAAACTTATATGAATACATTTGAAAGAGCTTTCCAAATTGCAAGATTTCACTGTTAAGATGTTAAGACTTTCTCTTCTCTGTTTGTTCCAAATATTCCTAAGGTAATCATGTAGAAGGAAGCAGTCACCTTATGCTCCTTCACATCTTTGGGTAGATGGCCCAATACCGTTCAAGCTTTCTTTTCTGTTGCCATATCACACTGCAAGTGCAAACAGTTTGCTGTTGGTTCTCATTTGCTTTTTTGCTTTACAGGCATCTGTGTTCTATATAGTTGGTAATTTTCCTCAAATTCCTTATGCAAGTACAAAAATGATCTACACAGTCAACTAAAAATTGTCTGGCTGATCTCATTCAAGCTGCTAAGTAAGAATGATCCAAATCTTCACATACTAGGAATGACGATGGCAATGTTCGTAGTGTGCACCTATTTCCTATTGAATGATTAAGCAGGTTACCACATGAATATTTGCTGCTCCTTGAGTTGTTTTTTGAAAATAATTTGTTTCTAGAAATAATAATGTAACCTGGTTTGGCTATTTTAAAATATATTTAGCGGTATTTATCTTGCTTTATAAATGTATCTGCAGCTAATAATGAACTACCTGTGAAAGTACACTGAACTTCAGGTTTTCTGTGAAATTTTCATCCTCTGAGTGCCAGATACTATTTGATGACTATTTGTTCGCTCATTCAAAAATGTAAATAGACTTCTCTTCACTTGCCCTACAATATCATCACTAAAATTTCCATCTTTGCAAAACCATAATGAATCTAGCCATATACAAAATCTCGCTCTTCCCTCTTGGCTCTATCAAGATTATGAAACTAATGATACTTTATTTCACTGTCCAAAAAGAAAAGAAAACCTTTCAAAACAAACATGGATGTTTACAGCTGTATGGAAGTTAATATAAATTTACTAAAATGTTAATGTTTATTATAAAATCTTTACTTCTTTAGTTTTCTATTGGATGCTTCAAAAATGCCTGTATGGGACATTAACAAAATGTTTCACTTGCAGGGAAACCATTCTTCCTATGTCCATTAGAAATAATTTAAGTACCTTTTTAAAAAAAAGAAAAAAAAAATTCTCTAAAAATCTCCAAACGTGAAAACAAATAAAATCTTAGGAATGAGAACCAGGAGACAACAACAGGAAATACTAATACATAACAACAGATAAACATCTTGCTGGTAGAGGTGTACCAAATAATCAGCAGCAAACCATGGGTCTACTGAAGAGTCTTCTATTTGAACCCTCATTTGGAAAAAAAATTAAAATCAATAAAGATAACTAGAACATTATTCCAGTAGATGTATTTGTGGAGAATGATGGGAAAAAAAAATAATAAATCTGTGGATACTTAGGAGAACAGCAGCAAAGCTCCTCTAACAGGAGGTGAGAAGGAGGTGTAAAAACATCTGATTGTGTAGAACAGCAAGAGGCGTGGACAGAAATAATATCAATATAACAATACAACTTTTCACAAACATAGTAATTTATTTGTAATGCTTCTATTTATGGTAGCATTTTTCTGAAACAAAACACTTTTAAGTTATATTAAAATTTTACTAAAAGCCAGAGAGAAAACTCCATGTATGATTTTAAAGATAATTTTAGAAGGAGGAAGAAATGACTAAATGTTAGGAAAGAATGGCTACTGTGGCTTTCAATACTTCCTATGGGATAGGAAACCTCTGAACCACCACCAACACTTCTCAAGAGAAAGCAGGCAGGTCTTATTTGTAAGCTACTGAAAACACACAGGCTAACAGTATAAAAGTGCATGTTAACAGTAATTTAACTATTTGAATCATTGTACCCCACTAATCTAAACCAGATGTTTTTATATTAATATAAAATGCCACAGGAAAATCTGACAGTATAAGAAATAAGGAAAAAAATGCCAGCTAAAATCCTCACCAATATATATTCACATACCAAATCTACTTTTATGAAGTAAAATATAAATAAAATTAAAACTAAATTTTAAAACTAAACCCAGTAAAATCTATTGATAAAATTCAGCTATAAATTCTATGTAATTCTTGTCAAGAAAGTATAGAAGATTACTTCTGTGAAAGCTCAAGTTTATAAAAATTTATAATCAACTTTGTCAAATTAAGATGTGGTGCAATTCTTTGCCTCAACCAATGGAGTGATTATAAACACCTACTGCAAAAAAACATGGCACATTTAAAGACTCGCTGAGCACTAGCCAAATTCAACAGGCAGTCCATTTTCTGTTGGTTCACGATACATTTATTCCCCTTCTAGTCAAAACAAGTAGTAATAACTGGAATTAAAGATTTGTTTTGTTATGGACTGTGAGTGCTGATTGAAACTTTTTCCATGGTTTGTGCATATATCCAGTCACTGGGCCTCAGAACGTGCAGTCTTTCCATCAATGGAGCACTAACAGCAGTCATTTGCAGTCTCCCTGCCCAACTGCCTAAGAAAGTGTCATTATTTCAATCAAATTCACTTGAAATTGGTCAGTTGTGAAAGTTATAATAGGGATCAGAAACACAAACCTAAACATAGAAACGTTAAACATAGACCACGTTATCTCACCAGGGCTAAAAATCTCTTGCTTGTGCAATAAAAAGTGTTAGATTTTAATAAGCAAAGTATAGGAAACCTGTGTTGGTCTTATTTCAGACCCTAAATGAAGATATACTCAAGTTTACTCTTGAAAACAGGAATATGCTATTGAGGTAGAGACCCTTTCTCCTGCCACCTGAGATTCATATACTTCTTGGGAAAGCAGACCTCCTCTGCCTAAGTGTAAATAAGATGACATCTACCAAAGCTGTTGATGAGGAAAACAGGACTTCATTTGGAAATGATATCTTTCAAGTTAATCATAAAAATAGGATAAATATGAAGACACATTTGTAACAAGTTTTTTTAGGTGTCTCAGAATACAAGGGCAGCTTATTAAAAAAAAAAAAGAAAAAAATCTCAGCAATGCAAGGTGTTTGAGTGCTACCTAGTCTCTTGGGCTACCAAAGCCTCAGATCTCAATCCAGTCACTGCAGGTACAGTCATGAAGTTTTGCATTTTCAGACCAGGTCATAGCTCAGACCTCAGCTATTCGCTGTAGTTGCTGAATTAATGTGTCTTAGTATTTTCAGGAAACTGTTTCCTCTGTGAGCCATGACCAAACAGATCTTGTGACAAGACAACTCTTAAAACTAATCCATTGCTGAGATCTAAGATAATAAGAAGATGCAGAGCAGTAACTACTTGGGACACATAGTCCTGTGGAACTCTGGGAAAATGCATAATTATTTCGGATTTTCTCAGTCTATCAGAAACAGATTGGAAAATAGCTCTATAAACCTACATTTTGAGGTTTATTTAGTAGTGCCCCACTGCCTTGTTTTTTTCCAGCTCTATGCTCCTGAAGTCATGCTGCACTTGTATAATCCCAAGTACCTCTTGCACTTGGTGTTACTTATGTTAAATCAGATTGGGAATCCAGGTGGCTCATGACATTGTCATAAAAAACAAATGTGCTGGCACAGAGCATTATAAGGACTGAGTTATTAGCAATAAAAGTATTGCTTTCTGTCTTATAATGAAATTATCAATTTTGCCAGGATTTATCCTATCTTTACATTTACCGTCATGACTTTTTGTTTTTCCAGTATTCATACTTAGATTTACATTAATAAATTAATACTAAAAAACCTGTTAGCCAAAGCAATCACCTCTTTCATGAAAGTTATTACTGATCAATATTGCTAGATTATTCAACTATATGCTACAACAAATTTGTAATTATTATTGTCATCTTACTATGGAGAGATGAATCATCCAAAAAGTCCTCCTGGGACTCTTTAATTTCCCCAGGTCTTGATCCACGAAATTCATTCCTTAATGAGGTTTTTCACCACCTGAAAATTACCTACAATTGTGGTTAAAAAAAAAAAAAAAAAAAAAAAAAAGGGGGAGAAAGAATATCAAGTACCATGAGATAAATGCATTGCTAAGTTTCAGGACTCCAGTTATGTAAGTATTACTGCATTCCCAAAACAAAGTTATCATAAGAGATCAGAGCATGGTTACTTTACCAGCAGCCCTACAACATGCTTCAAAGGACAATAAACATCCCATAATGCACCTAGACAAGTGTGAAATGTTTTTACATACAAAGAAAATGTTCCCAATCCCTGCGTTAAAATTGTTCATAGAAATTAAAACACGTTTAATGACGTCTCAACTTTAAACATTTGCTTTTTGTTTTTCATTTAGTCACAGAAAAACAATTCATTGGGCATTAAATTACGTGGTTAAGTAGAAATACCCATTCAGCTGCTCAGGCATTCAAAAGTGGAAGTATTAGAAGTTAAATGGTCATTTTAACATTTTGCCAAAATAAAAATTAAAGGGACAGTTCAAAGCTCAGCAGACTGAAGGCTCTGGAAAAAGCTCTCCAGAAGTACACGTTCAACTCACATTTTAAGAGTCAGAAAAAGAAAAGAAAGCGTGCATTACAAAGCATGCAACTGAGACAAAAGATTAATAAGAATAGTAAAAGGTTAAAAAGGTAAAAAAAAAAAATCTTGTCATCCTACTAATATTAATTTGTTTTATTTCCTTTCCAAAATGGTGGTTTACATCTCTCAACATGAAATTTAACTTTAAATCTCTCTGGTATTTCAGTGTCAAAATGTAGATTTTAAAGTTCAGAAGAATTAAGTATTTGTAACTCACAATGAGTTGCATTCATTTTCATAATAAATTTTCAAATTAAAGCTCAGATTCCAAACAGTCTACCAAGGCAAGCCCACACCAGTCATTTCTGTATTTTTCAAGTCTTGCTTGTATCCTGTTGATACCTCACATACAGTAACACTAAATAAGTTCGAATAAAGGCTTAACATCTACATTTGAATGTCAAATATAGCCAGCTAAAATTCATCATTTTGATGTTTATTGTGGCTAATATATCATTACTAAGTCATTATTTCTGATAGCATACATGCAAAATAGCTTTGATTAACTCTCAGACACATCCACAATACTCTGTAAAATAATTCTTATTATGTGAATAAAAGAAAAAACATCCTACTCAGTTGCTTAAGTTCATCCTATTTTACAACACCACACACAATCTATTCCTTTGCAGTGAAACAGTTGCCTTTTTGAAGGGAAAAGAAAGCATTTATCCAGTCTGCATTCTAGAATTCAATATATGAAAAATAAATTACACCACTGAAACATTTTATAGTAGCAGAGTTAACATTTCTGTAATGTACATGCACAGTATAGACCACCACATTGCTAAAATAACAACACTTAATATCCTAGTGGCAATATGAGGATTCAATGCAAAAGAGATTATAAACCACTCGTCTGTTTCAGCGATGGTCTTACTTCCTGGGAAGGGTTTAGAAACAGAATGTTTGTAGCCCACTGCGGGGACAATAGGACAGTGAATGCTGTACTGCATTGTACTTCCTAAAGTTCTTTTTATCTCTAGCAATGCAGGGAGAATCAGCATGTAAGGCTACTTCCATTCTTATTTGTGGAAAACATGAGGTGAGAATAAAGTCAGAACAAAACTGGTATGTAAACGGAGAAACAAAAGACATCTTTCTTCATGTTCCTCAGCTTGCATACCCTTCAAAATAGTATGCAAGAATCCAGTATATTATAGCAAAAAAAAAAAAAAAATTGTTAAAGGAGAAAAGAAACCTGGTTAGTATGCTTTCTCTCAAGCCTCTTCATGTTACTGCCAGATGTAACATTTCTTAAAATAAATAAATAAATAAAAATTCCTGGCATGGAAATGCCAATTGTAACTGAAAAATGAAATAGGCACCTGCCCCCAACACCACTTACCAGAAATTATTAATGATGACTGTTGCTTTTCAGCTTTTGAACTTTAATGCCTAACAACATTCTTCAGATTAATTTTCTGCATAATCTTATAGATTTAACTATACACAAATTTAGAAGTCTAATTCTTAAAAAAGCACAACTATGTTGCACAACAGATTACAATGTATTGTGATCTGTTACAAAATTCATTGTAGTATTGCTGGACAATTATAAATTCCAAAGCATTTTAATACTAACTGAAACATGCTAAAACTTCAAAAAAATATAAAAATATGTATTTCAATAATCTCTCCTCTTTTTAATTGTTACACTAGGAAGCACACCGCAACAGAACTATCTGCCAGAATGGGAAGATCAGGCCAACACACAGAGGCGTAGGAAAAGTAAATTATTCAAGTAATTATGTTAAACACCACTGTGTATTTTCTATACATTATTATTTGATTACAGTGGAATAAACTGTCAGTAGCACGAGCACTATTCCATTTAAAAACTTCCTTCTGTACAAACACCCAGGACAAACTACAGTTACCTTGGTAATTTGTTAGCACATGGTTATTTCAAAGAAAAATACTGCATAGATTTTGTAATACCTATACTTTTTGATAGATTAAAAAGATGAGGAATGGAAAGTATTGTAAGTGCATCCTGGTTACCATGGTCACATTTCATTCTTGACATTATTTGGAGGGGCAAGTGTTAAAGCAATTCACTACTGCATTGCTTACTCCATTGGCATTTCTTCATGAAAAAAAGAGAAGAGGAAAGGATTAGCAGAACCAAATCTAAACAGCAGCACCCAGCTGAGGCTTTGGATAAAAAGTCATAGCAATTTTAAAGAAAAATAAAACAACTAAAATATTTAAGTGAAAATTAGCAACAAATAAATTATTTAGGAAGTATGTACTGTCAAAATTAATCTGGACTGTAGATTAGCAGAAGCATAGTACTGTTTACATTGTATGAAGAAAATAATATTTTAAGTTATATGGTGAACCATCTTTTAAAGATGCTGGGCTCAGCCTTCCCTTAATTCAATTTATTTTGGAAATTTTAGAGCTAGAGAGAAGTCTCACATGACAGACTTATACTGTATAATGAGAAACCTCTGGGGGAAGCTGAATAAAGACATTTTTAGGATTTCAAATTTCTACAGACTCAGCTTTCTGCTTTGTTTAAAACTAGTAACTTAGAATTTCTCAGATTACAGGTTATTTGGGGAGCAATTTGCCCTATTTTTCTCTTAAATTATTCTACTTTAAGTAGTTAAACATTCATTGGAGGAGGTGACTCCAGAATCTAGAAAACAGTGCTTGCTGAGATGTAGGAGATCTAAATTAAAATATTTTCTTCTGTCCCAGCTGAATGTCCTAAACCCCCAGTCTTTCTTTTTGGCCTTGGCTTTGTCACTGCAGTCCAAGCTCTCATTCTCCCGTGTAGTGAAGGAGCCACTGTGTCTTCTACTGAAAAAAGCACTCGCATTCTCAGTCAGCCTTAGTGACTTTACCTCTACTAAATCCCTTCTCCCAGGCTGTTTTATCCCATAGTGTATTACATTTCCACAGATTAAAAAAAACCAAACAAACAACCAAAAACATCTCTGCTTTTGGCTGGGTTTTGTGGATTGGAGGAGACTATAAAAATTTATGTTTTCTTACTATTGTATTTCAAAATAGTAAGAGCTCAGATAGAGCTATACTCATTTTGCAAGTGAATGAAGCTTATGCTTCCAGGTCACTTCAAAAAATGCAAAATAGGTACCTTAAAATTTTACTCATTTTTCACCAAGAAGATACAACCACTTATTATATCTAAACTATGGAACCTAGTAGCACCAACAATGCACGGGTATTTGCAAAAGAACTGAAATAAAGTGTTAAATAACTTTATAAAGAACTAGAATGTGGCCATTCTTCTGCATTGACACTGATGCAGTGAAAGCAAATGCTATTTTGATCCCTGTGGGATAAGCTGTTGAAGAACGGTAACACACATGGGCAATTGTTTCATGTAAGTCTACTAATGGCATATTGTGATTAACTTAAAAGCAAGAATGCAGATCTTGTGGAACTGAAGAATCTGTTAAGTCTCCTGTTTGCCTCCTGCCTCCAACACCATTTAGATTATTGGCAATGAAAATAAATGTTTAAATAAATATTCCCACTGTGCCTTCATACCTGCGTGTTGTTTGTTATTCTGTATCTCACAAGATGTTGTGAAACAGATAAAGAAATTGATAGCTACAGAGATGACACTTAACAAACATTACTGATATTCATACCATGATCTCGGCACAGTTACATAACAACTTTTTTCCCTATTAACTTCCTCACTGTCTCTACACAAAAGAAAATGGCAGTTACTCTCAAGTTTAAGTTAGTTAACAATGACCACACAAAAAGCTTGCAAAAATTAATAAGCTCTTTTATATCCATTGTCTGCAGTAAGTTGGTTTTTTTTTGGTAGTAGGGTCTAAGTCCTGCAATCAGAGAGGCTTCTTTTGCTAGTTTTATGAAATTCCACCACCATCTCAATCTGTAAACAATGAGGTTTCTCTTTTCTGGCCTACTATTTGGTATTTCAGAGCCTTGCTATCATGTTGTATATGGAGCTTTTTGGCAAATACGATCAACTGAGGACACTTACCTGAAAATCCAAACTTTTGCCCAATCATACTTTAATAATATGTATGGATATAAGGTAAATGCTCAGCTAGCTATTTCAGTCCTTTGTAAATATAAGAATATGGAGAAGAGCCAGCAGAGGATGAAGGTGGTTGGCCTACTGCACACCATTGTTACCTCACAGCATTTAGCTTGACCTAGAGTGTAAAAAGAAGAATTCACAGATAATTCACCATCCATCAGGGAAAACAGTTATTTCCAGCTTCCTTATTCTATGTGAGAGTGACATTTAAAAAAACCCAAAACCCAAACAAAACTCTTAATGTATGTTTTTAAGTTTGCCAGATTTTGGAGATTTTGGGTTGCTGTAATAAACATCAGAACTGAAAAGCAATCATAATCACTCCTTACTATTGAAAATTGGTATCTTCCATCT